ATCCATCCATCCATCTGTGATTCCAATATTTCACCATCCATCCCTGCCGTCCCTATTCCCTCCAAATCCTTTCTTTGCCTAGCCATGCGATGACTGCCTTCCCCAGTTCTGGTTCTGCCTCTGGTAAGCGCCATCCGCATTCTGACTTGCTTCTCTTGTATTTTTAATGCCTGGTATGTCTGGTATAATGGACTTAAAGAGGAGCCAGCGGACAGTTCAACTGACCGTAGGCAGACAGGGCAGAGAGATGAGCACAGCTAGGTGTGAAAGGAAATTGGGGGAGATAAGCTAACGAGGATGAGAGGGGCTGAGCCTAAGAGTAAGCTGATAGGCATCCCAACTGGTTGTGGGCAGACGGAGCCGAAGGATGAGGCACGATGGAGCATGCGCGCACCCGGGGGTGGAGGGAAACCAAAAAAAAGACTGACAGGAATGGATGACGAAAGGCAGGAACAGCGTGCAGACCAATGGGCTAGAAAGGAAGGGAGCTCGATGGCAAACCTTTTGGAACACTGGGTCTGAATGCGCAGCCTGGAATGAGTAGGAGGAAGCGGTTAGAGAGCACACTGGCAGCAACGTTGCTGGGAGGGAGGAGATTGACAAGGATGAGAGAGAGGAAAAGTGTGGAATTGGAGTGCAAAAAAGAGAAAGCGGGACAACCAAGGCAATTACAGTTAATCGGGAAGGATGGCCCTATCACACGGGCAATGAGTAAGCAGTTAGACCAGCAAGGTGCATAAAAAGAATCTTCCCACCCCCTGAGCCTCACTCTGAGGACGCTGGTAGGGGACCAGCGAAAGCTAAGTTGTTTTTTTTAACATTGTAAATAGTTGTTTTTATTGTTTTTAAATATTTTTTAACAATAAACAACTGGTTTATACCTCTCCCGGAGATTGAAGTTTGTGTTATTGAACATATACAGTGTATATATATATATATATATGACTAAATCTCTTTTTCATAAATACACACACAAACAGAAACTTATAGAAACTTACACCAACAAGTATAATCCATGTATAGTAATAACTCATGAAAGTTGAATCTGAAATGTTTCACATTCCACTGTTTTATAGAAATCATTGGCTGCAATAATTAATTGAAAATAATTAAGATTTTTTAAAAATACATTTAACATATTCAGTAATATGAGCTTGCACAGTACAAGTTCTAAAAAATAAGAAATTGTTTCTGGAAATCTAAATGCTGCATATATATTGTATAATAATACACCACGAAACCCCCTCCAAATAACAATGTATTGTAAAATGTTATCATGCTATTTACTAATGTTTATTGTTGCATATTTTATGCTGTCAGTTTAGCATACCATAGACTTTTTATATGTGTTTATATCAAAATAATCATTTCTCTGAAAGACCACATTTAGTCATTGTAATTAATCTTGATACATCAAACTTTGGATGGCTGAAGTATAATATAATACACTAAGCATCACTTAGGAGTGTAGGATTCTGCACTGTAGGATTTAACAGTGTTGTACAATTATGCTACCCAGACTACATTATGTACATTTTAAATACTGAAAGAAAGAAAACATACTTGTACAGGTATTCTATTGCAATATAGGATTAGATCCTGTGACCAATTTTAATGTTCTCAGTTGCATCAAATCTTAGTGATTTTCGTTTACAGTTATACTTCATAGGTATCAAGGAACTGTTCTGAATTAAAAGATACATGGTTTTCATTAAAACTTTTGATGTATTTTTTTTGTTGTTGTTTTAAATGGTATATTGAAATGGGATTGTATTTTTAATAATCTATCAAATATTCCTACCCACCAGTGCCAGTTAAAGGTCATTCTTACTCTCAGGAAAACATATAATTGGGCTTCTCCTAAATCACCTAAAGCATATACACAACTACCTTTTTCTTCCTCTGTATTAATAGAAATATGTTGATGTTCAATCTGCATTATGAAAACAATTGCAAGACCAGAGTTTATTACTTAGAGAACTGCAGACAATGACAATTTCTGGTTCAAATACTCTAAAGACTCAGAGGGCTTTTGCTGCTTCAAAAACAATGGTTTTGCCCTCTCTGTGAACAATCAGGACTTGAAGTTTAATTAAGAGAGGGTTTTTTTTTTCAATTAAAGCTTTGATATGCTTTAGCAGGCTCCAGTGTATCCCTACCCTTGATAATGTCCCTTGTGCTGCTGTTTTTCAAAAGACAACAAAGCAAATATTTTAAGACAGTGCCCTGTGCTTGTGGTTGGTTCCTTCCATTTCTCCACTCACAATATTGTTTGCTCTACTGCCTTAGTTAAAAAGCCTTTTCTCAAAAAATCTCTGCTCCTTTCCAGCATATCCAATTGTTTTACAACTTACAATGTCTTCCTGGAAAGAGGTTGATATGCAAAATAGGTCTTACGGGGAGAGGAATGAGAAAATAGAAGATGTAATAATGAAGAATGAGCATCAATGTAGACTAACCTAATGAAGCATAATGGACCTGATCCATTATTCACCAAGCACAATAAGAATCTTTACCAGTACACAGACAGGATTTACTGTCGCCGAAGGGTGAGCATATGTGGATATGAATGTGGATATGTCAACACAGCAGATTCGCAGATTGCAGAAAGCAATCAAAGCCTGACTTTCAGCCAAAATACAATGAAAAGAACAGTTTTGTTCAATTAGCTTCAATATTCATCCCTAATAACTTGAAAATCCTAGGTTACATTAAAAACAAAAATAAGTAAACTCATTCTACAATATAACTTAAGAGAATGTCAGAGTCTGGAAAATTTTTGAAGGAAGGCATTCAGAATGACAGGGCAACAAAGACTCACTCTCTTCAATAATCAATCATTTGAAAATGCAGGAATGAGCTCGTAATTGTATCTACCACCCATAGCAACCACCTTCAGCTCCTCAGCTAAAAAGGTGGATGATTATCAGAAACAGTTAGGAAATGTTTAACACTCTATTAATCACTATTTAGTTTTTACTAATTTATTTAAAGGTAAGAAAAGAATATGGGGGATGGAAAAGGAATGCTAGATTTGAAACTCAGCCACGCCCCACATTTGCAACCAATTCTTCTGAAAGATTTTGTGCAATCAAGGGGATATTATTTAGGAAAGAAAGAAATGGGGCAAAGAAACCCTGTTGCTAAGGAGATGACTGGGCTAACATTCCTACATAAATTTTAGTGTTGGGGTAGGCTAGGGCAAGAGAGAGAGAGAAAAAGAAAAGAAAAAAAAACTCTCATACAAAGTTGACTCTCCAGTAGCTGTACATGGTAACACCTCTTTCAAATATATGTATATTCTTAAGGACCCAATAGAAAGACACCTCAGACCAAATGTTTCAGGCAGTAGTGATAGATATAAACAAAAAGAAAATGACTTTCAATAAAGCTTCCAAGCAAAGTTCTTTAGAACAATGCAAAGAATTTCCATTTGTGCCAGAACAAAATGTAAGATAAACATTTGGACCAATAGAAAACCCATTTTTATTGTATGATGATGTGGTTTGAAATAAAATGAGCCCTAAGGATAATTCATGACTTACAAGTTACTAAACATGGGTTACAATTTAACTTCTAAATATTTCCCAAAATTATGGAAATTGTCGTATATTTAATTAAATTAAAAACAATCCAAACTACAGTTTTACAGGCTGAGCAAACCATATACTTGGTTGAAGGGAGAAGAAATCAATCTTCCTTTTTGAAATAACCCTGGAGAAAATATACTGTAGGAGAAATACCAATCAGCCAACAAAGAGAGAGAGAAAGAGAGAATACTGAGGAATGAGACACAGAAGAGGTCATACATGGATAGAAAAAAAATATCAAATGTGACTTTATGTTGGCTACAGTTTTAGGAAGCTGAATGCCAAAACTTTCCATTAGTTGGTGTAGGGATTGTTTCAGGTAGAAATACTGACCTGAATTGAAACAACAGCCAAATATTGTTTGAACCACTTGCACACTTGTTCAGACTGGATTCAAATTTATTCCATAATTAAATATGCAAATGAAATATCTCAAGTGATTACCTGATACAAAGGATTTGCAAAAATTCATTCTTTGCCTCCAAATCTCTGCAACATTTTTATTTCTGAGTCAAAGAAAGTATGCTATGTTATTAGATATATGGTATATTAAATATATTAAAGCAGATGATTCCCAAAAGCATCATTTAAAGAAAATGTGGTTATTTTTTTCCCCTTTCACTTGAGGCTACAAAGATGGGAGAACTGCTGAAAAAACAGAAATCAGACAGAAAGCCTAAATCCAGAAGGAAGCACTAGATAGAGGATTAGAATGCAAAATTGAGTTTGGGGAAGCTGGTTAGTAAGTAAGATAAGATTGGTTAATAATACTTAAACAAAAAAAAGTAGTTGCATCATTGAATAAAAGGTAGATACTATACAGAATCTGGGATGAGAGAAGAATTCTTCGAATCCCAAGACTCCAGCCAGATTGTTAAGAAAGGTGTGTTGGTGTCCAAGTCAGACCTAATTCTAAAGTGGCTTCCCAGACAGGCGATGCTGCGCCGGTAACTTGCAAGGCTCTCAACCGAGCGCTGGATCCGAATGGCGGGGCAAAGGGGAAGCTTGCACAGGGGCACAACCGCCAGCGGAGCTATGGAAGCCCAACTGAGCAGCGGAAGGCTTGGGCGTGCGCTAAAAGGGGGGAGGAACCGCTCTTTGGGAAGAAAGAGATTTTAAGAGCTCGTGGGGGGGGTGTCATCTTTGGGGAAGACAAGCAAAGAGGTTAGGATTAGAGGCAAAAGCGAAGAAAGGAGGAGAAGAAGAAAACGAAGAAGATGCCGGGGTGGGGCGGTGGGGGCTAAGAGCAGCGGCAGCAGGAAAGGTGACCGTGGCCAGGCGTCGGAGGGGCAGCGCTGCTGCATTGGGTGGGGTCCGAAAGAAGGCTAGGGGTTGGGGCGCTGGGCTCGGCGGGAGGGGAAGAAAGGGCAACCCCACAAAGCAGTCTGGACTTAAGGGGGCCTCTCTCACCGCTGTTCAAGGTAGTTTTGCAGCGCCAGGTCTCCGGGTTGCCGAGTTTGTTGCAGGACTCCCAGAGGGACAGATAAGACTGGTGATCGGCCGTCACCCAGGCCGGGCTCAGCACGGCTCCCAGATCCAGACACAATGCCAGGAAGATGCATACCAGCCCCACCAGCTTGAGCGGGGTCAACACCGAGACGCGCACCTCCTCCACGCCACTGCCGGATGAAGCCATGGGCAAGCGATTCGGGGAGCCGGGCGCCCTGCTGGAGCCGGGGGAGGGGGAGGAGGCGGCTTCTGGTCCACCAGCCCCAGCCGATCAGGTGCGGCGGCTGTGGCGGCAGAGAAGGAGGCGGCCGCTCTCTCTGGTCGCCACTTCGCGGATCGCGCCGCCCGGCTCGACCCACCACATCACTCCTCCCATCTTTCCTCCCCCTCTGGGGAAGGGGCGGGACGAATGGTGGCACGGGGACGGCCTCGAGCGGTGGACGTCATTCTTAGGGTTTCCTCCAGGGGGAAAAAAGGTGAGAAGCTTCTAGCTGTCCCGAGCAGTATCTTCGGGTGGCGAAAACACATTTTTCTTCCCAAAAGCGCCCTGCTCGGGCCTTTCCCAAGGACGTTTGGCCAGTCCCCAACTTTTGACAGCAACGCATTCCTGGCTGCGCTTGAGTCCTGTGAGACTAAGGGCGCCAGGCTGGTGTCGCTCACTTTCCCCTGTGCTCTTCTAGTAGATGTAGTTTGGTGGATTTAGAAGCACTTGACATCCTTCCGAAGTCCCGTCGGGAAACTCTGTTCGACCTTCTGTGAAAGTACAGTAACTCTGGTCTGAAGAAGGAAGGAAGCTAATCTGGTGCTTCTGATAAATGTCAGATTCTTAAAATTAATTTTACATTGAATAGATCTGAAAATAGAGCATGTGTTTGTCAGTATGGAGCACATGCTTAATATCATTATCTAATTTTTATTTTCCATGACACACAAAATGATTTAAGGCAGGGGTCCCCAAACCCTGGTCTGTGGTTTGGCACTAGTGTGCGGCCAGCCAGGAGCTGGGATGCAAAAGCGAGCTAAGCCCCATCCACACATGCTTGGGATCCAAGGCCCACACGTGTAACTATGCCCCCCCTCCACAAAAAAAAACACCCTCCATGGAACCAGTCCTGGTGCCCAAAAGTTTGGGAGGTGCTGATTTAAGGCATGAATCCCCTTGATTTCCTCACTGTTTTATATAGTGTCCACATGAATCCATCAGTTAAACAGATTCAAATGATGAAAGACACAAGAATAAAGATATAAGACACAGAATCTCAAAGACCCAAATGAGGTTTAAACAGAATATAAATAAAACCATCATTATATTACAGAGTTTAGCTGGCTGTGTGTAATAAGCCACCACAATCCTTACAATTTTGTGCCAAATTATGAGTCAAAAATAGGAATTTTAGATCAGGGTCCAAATAGAAAAGTGATACTTGCTAAAACAATGACTGTCTACTATTAGCTACAAATAAAATCACAGTCATTGTATCGACAAGTCAGAATTTTTGGTGCATGCTTGCTAGCAGGATTGATTCTCATCAATCCTTAGCATACAAATCTTTTTTGCAATATTTTAAGGCATCATCATCATCCATCCTGTTGTCCGTTTCATGTTCTAACTTTTATAGTTACATTTGCTTGCTCAATATCTTCTCTGCTTGAATTCTGGACATTATACAGCTTTAATCTGTTTCACTGTGTAGTTCTATAAATCATTTTAATGGTTATTTGCACTAATGCATTATTTTATCTTTCCACCATTTTCATTTTTGTTAAGTTCCTACAATTCAGGGTTTTAGGACTGCAGATAGCCTTATTTATGAAAAAGCATGGGTACCAAATGGGTTGTAAATTCCATTAATTTCCTAAAATGCCCTTTCTCGGGTCTATTTCACAATAAACTTACTAAGCAATTTACCAAGTTATTTTCATAATCAGCTTTAGTCAGTTTCACAGACCAAATAGAAACTTCTGCTTCATCTTCTCTAATTGCAGTAAATAACCAATATTTATTTTTGCATGATGCCCACTTTCTTTTCCTTTCAGTGAAATTCATAGGATCCTGACTATCATAGATAGGTTAGGAAGATTTAAAATATCCATAAATTAGGAAGAATTACAGCATTCTTTTTTTTTTGTTTTGCCTAGTAGTGATCTGTGTTGAAATTAAGAAGCCTTCAGTTGGTGACTGTCTGATTCTGGTCATTTCCTCAGTCATGATGGATATTAAGCCATTTCCCTATTAGTGGGACATCTTCAAAGCAATTTCTTCATAGCAACAGCCAGCCATTGCTGAAACGATATTATAAAGCCTGTGACCACTATTGTTACTTTGGCCAAACAATGGTGGGATGACTTTAGAGCAGGCCTGCCAACTGTATAGAGGATTAAAAACTTCAAAAATAATTGTGGAGCTAAAAGGAACAGATGGCAAACCAACCAGCTACTGAACAGTATTGTGGCAGCAATACAGTTCGCAGTGCCCCTGAGGCTTGGAAACATTGGGTGGCTGCAAAAATCTCAATGTCCTCAATTATGTTTGGTGGCAGTGGATTGACCATTTTTCAAAAGATGTTGAGGGCCAAACAAGATTGTTTGATTGGGTGCATGTTGGACAGTTCTGTTGCAGAAGATGCTATAAGTCACTAGTGGGGAAATCACTTTAGTTGCTTCTATAGACTTGTATCAAATTACTATTTTACAAGGAAGATTTTGAAGTGGAATGGATTTTGGATTTTGGAATGTATTGCGTTATCTAACTTTCCATATCTGGTATAAGAGCCTGCAACCTCAAAAAAGTATGTATGCAGGGATGGACGGGCCTGCAAAAAAAGTTATCTTTGCAGAGTTAAAGAGACTCATCACATTTTAACTTGCCCTAAATAGCATAAATGCATTTTTCTTTACTATTTTGATTTACATGGCTCCTTAACTTACCATGTAAATCAGAGCAGATGACAAAAAACTAAATACAGCAGAAAATAAACTAAAGCATTATAAGATGTCACACAAAGACAGCTCATACATTCAGGCAATTAAATAGACTTGCCTATCCTTCTGAAACATTGCCTGGGGATGACTCAAGAACTGAAGGTCTTTTTAAAAGCAGAGTCAAAGCTATCCGTGGAGAATGCTGTCCCAACTGAAAAAACAAGTTTTAAGTTCTAAAAGATGACACTGCTGATGTGATGAAACCAAAGCCTACAATCCTGTGAGATCTTAACAGATGGGGACCAGCAATTGGAGATGGGTGGTCTTGCAAATATCCAGGTCCTGTGCCTTGGAGGACTACAAGATGAACACTAGCACCTTGATTTGCATCCAGAAGCCACCCAACAACCAAATGAGTTAGAATAGTAGCAGTGTTGCATAGCCTGTAACTGCTTGCACCAGTTTATTCTGGACTAGCTGTAGCTTCCAAATAATTTTCTAAAGTAGACACATGGGTAGTATGTACTGTAGTGGCCAAAATGTGAGTTGAGACAGCATGAGAGACCACGAAAAGGGCTTCCAAATTCAGGTATAGTTGCAAAGGATTTGTGCAATGGTCCTTCTAGACATAATTGCCACATATTCTTTTAACAGAAACCATAAGTCTAGAAGGATTCCAGATTGTGACAAATTCTGTTTTGAACAGTGTGCCCCATCCAGAAGCAAAGTTAAGTTTCCAGATCGAGGTGGCTCTAATATCCACAAACACTCAGTCTTGCTTAGGGTGAGCCTAAGCCTGTTCTTCCCCACCCAGACCCCCAAGAATTTCTAGATACTGAGACAGTATCACTTGGCCAGCCTAGGGTTAAAATATGTAACTGAATATAATCAGCATATACATAATACTTAAACCCTGCCATGGATGACAGAGATTTCATATGGATCTTAAATAGAAAGGGAGAGAATTGACCTCTAAAACATCCCACAAACCAAGGGTTTTGGGTTGGTTCTCTTCCTTCAACCACATCTATTGGGACCAACTCAGAAGAATGAAGGAGAACCACCACAACACCATTTCCAGTCTAGAGGAAAACCATGACTAATGGACTGAAAGCCACTTAGACGTTAGAAAGTCCAGGATGGATGCACAATATTCATCCTCCTCTGACAAATAGGTACAATCAATGCCATCTCAGTACATAGTCCAGGCCAAATAATTAATTTTCTCCAGTCCTTTGAAATGGCAGCCTACCATCTTCTCAATAACCTTCCCTCCAAAGGGAAAATTTGAGATGGTTAAATAATATTCAACACAATAATAATTGATCACTGTGCAAGCCTCACAGTGCAAGCCTTGCAGTCTTCTTTGTATTTTCAAAAACTATTCTAGAGTAGTAAAATATGGATATTGTGATTGGTATTCTTGCATTAGATGTAATGCATGACTTTGGCTAAATATAATCTGAAGATAAAGAAGTTTTACCAAAAAAATAAGAGACATTTCAGGGACAGAAAAAAATGATGGTGCATAAATATATTGTGAATTATATTATATTGGTGATACTGTAAGAATGAATTTCAGCCATTTTCACATGGAAATAAGAAGAAATATTTGGAGTAATACCTTCAATAACATTAATGATTCCAGGCACAAGTGCTAAGCCTCCCAAAATCTATAAAGCTCTTTATAATGAACCTTTAAATGACCCAATACAGAGACGTGTAACTCAACAGAAAACATAGCAGAAATGAGAAACAATGGAATCAGGTAGACAGGGACACAGATCAGTCATGATTAAATATTGAGTGTATTTGAACTTTCTGCACTCATTGAAAGTTTTTTCATTACTTTTCAATGCATTCTACACTTCCTAATGATGACAGTAGAAGATCTTCTAAGAAAGATTTTTAAAATATGTGACACTAAATACAGAATTGCCAATTCTGTTTTCATATGGCACAATTAATCAACTGAGTTCTACCAATATGTTTTATTGTTTAAAAAGCACACTGTTTATTGAATTCATTCCTGCCCTGCTCTTCATATCCAATTCTAAAAATAATTTTGAATGCTTTTTAAAGGATCCAAAGATGACCCTGTTTGATCAAGTGGACCCATGGCGTGGCCAGTTGGTTGGCATATGGAATAAACCATGGGAGAAGGATAGTTATATCACTAGTTTCCATGCTATGTAGGGCTTTATGGAGGATGACCATCACCCTGAATTGCATATTGACAATTAATGCAGCTTGCAAAGCATCAATATCACATGTCCTATTACTTGATATGATCAAAAATTAGCACCTTGTTATAAGCCAACCTTACTTTCAGCAGCAGCCAGAGTACAAGGCTACAGAGGATCCATTAGCCAGGTATTGAGGGTGGATTTGTTTGGAATTTTACATAGTTGAATGTTTCTATGCACCCTCTCTGAGAATAAGATGGATATAAATCTTATTAAAAATCTTGA